CYTTTTTTTATTCCATGTTTGTTTTCTTCATTTCTCTGTGTTGGTCAAACTTTTAGTAATGTTTTTTTTGCCCTCGGTAAAGAAATGGCTCCAGTCATGTAGCGTCTTATCAGTAATATGTTTTCATTCTATAGTGGTTTCTTTATATTTACTAGTATTGCGACGCGAGAAAACCGTTCTTCTCTTTATAGTACTATTYCTATTTTATTTACTTCTGGTTTGAACTGTCTTATATAGTTATGTTGTCAGAGTATTCTAGAGTATTTTTACTATATCGTGACAAAATGGAACCATACATACAATCTAGTATTTATCATGTCCCACTCTGAGAAGCTTAAGTGATATTGGAGYGAGTTAGTGTTTGCTTTCCATATCTTGGCTTTAAAAGAACAGCCCAACTGATCACTACTTAGATCCTACACGATAATTTTCATGATTTCGTCGCTGAGTTTATGTTTTTCMAACTTACCGTCAGAGAAAGTGTCAGAAAATCCCACGCTACTTGTAATGCGCAATTCCTGTTTGTCCGGTAAAAGTCTTTATCTATCGCTTTTTTCAATTTTTGTTTTTATTGAATAACATTTGTCTCAATGAACAAAAGAGTTACGAATAACATTTTTTTTTTATTAATTCATGCATTGTGTGAGGGGTTTTTTTTTTTCGCCTTCTCCTTGGTTGATTATCTTTAAGTAAACTACTTTTCTCTCGATCAGTTGGTAATGCACTCGAATCAGATAAATAACCTTTAGAATTATTTCGTTTAACAACCGTAATTGTAAAAAAGTTAATAAAAAATGCTTTAGAAACCTTCCGCTTTTTTAATTATACCTTTGAAGGTGATAACATGYAAATCTGTATTGTCCCAGCAAAACACTGAACTGTTTATTAAAAAAATAATTTCATTTAAAGCTTAAAATGCGTTTCTCATTTTTGTTCCCTGTGGGAGTTAAGACGGAACAGCAGACTTTATCCGTGCAATTTTAAGACAGCAATCTTAATCTAAATTTTGTATGATCCGAGGCGCTGTTGCAAGCTGACTACATAAGTGAAAATTGAGCAAGTCGATTTATCAACACAACTGAGTAATACCGCCTACTTAATATAYGTTAAAGCCATTCAATTTTCGTATACCGTGACATTTTCTTTTGTGCGTTAAGTTTTGTTGAATACCTATTTTCCCTTAATCTCTGACAATGAATAAGTATAGGCTAAGACATAGAACCACATTTCGAGAGAAAAGTTCCGATTATCTTGTAGTTTATGTGAAGCTTTGTCACTGAACACAAACAGAAGACGATAGAAATGTCACCATAGTGCCAAAAATAAACGAAATAGAGAGAGAAGAGGGAAGGAAAAGGAAAYAAGGTTTGTTTTTCTCAGTTCCGACCCGGGGGKTCTTYTTCAAAAATAGCAAGGCGGGGGGGAATGCATGACTTACATGTCCGGTTCCATCTGATCCCCGTCGCATACAGGCGGTTTTGTCTTTGGTTCGTTATGCATTAATTTCGGCTTCAAATGTATGGCCGCGTAGTTCTTTAATTTAAGTTCGAATCTGATATTGTCGTTTTTTTCATTGAATTATGTCAACTGCGGTTCGTATTATTATGCCACTCCTGACATTTCTTGAATTATTTATTTATTTATTTATTTATTTATTTATTTATTTATTTATTTATTTATTTATTTATTTATTTATTTATTTATTTATTTATTTATTTATTTATCTATTTATTTATTTATCTATTTATTTATTTATTCATTTATTTATTTCTTTATCTATTTATTTATCTATTTATTTATTTATTTCATTTATTTATTTATTTCATTTATTTTCTATTTATTTTTTAAGTTCGTTATTTATTCATATTTATTTCCTGCTGTTGCGATGAATTATCATGATGTACAACACTTTAGACGCCATGTTTGATGAGAAATACAACATGGCGGTCATGACGTCACCAGGTCASCCCAGCTATTGTAGCTTTGCATTCGAGTCACAGGTCAGCTAGTCTCCTTMGCAGYCTACCYTTTTGTCGGGATTAGGGACAGGAAGCCCGACAAAAGGGTAGGCTGCGAAGGAGTTTACAGGTCAGCCGCCACGTTCAGCAACGTTTATGTCTCATCTTAGAAATCTGCTCATGATAAGATTTTATTAGACTGTATTACATCCTGAGTTCGATATAACGGCGTTTGACTACAGCTACAGGAATCCCGAAACGAAAACGTGTGCGAAGGAGATCAAATATATCCTTGGATTTGTTGAAATTCACAATGGAAGACCATGAAACGCAGACTAGCTATAAATTAAAAAAAATGCATTCTTTTTTTTTCCTTTTTCTTTTTTTCATAATTTGTCTTTTGGTTGTGCAATGGTCTATGTCTTTGATTGATACCAAAATCTGATTATTATTTTTTCTTCTTCTTGCATTGCTGTATACATGACTAATAGTAGTTATGGATGTATTTGCAAAACTCTGTCTTGTTCTTCCATGTCCTCTTGAAATTATTCTTCCTTCCATATTTCATTGAAGACACTTTTGATATATCGTAAAATTTCGATTTTTCCACAGACAAAATATGTTTGTTTTCATTTTCGCTTAGTAAATGGAAACTGTACATTTTTTGGAGGTTTTTCTTGCTGTATTTCCCATTGCTTGTTGATATTTTTTTTCGAAATATGCTTCTGAGATTAACTGCTTCACAGACAACTGGAGCACTGACATCGTTGCWCCCTTGTTTATCAATCCCAAAATGCATTGCGTCACAAGGCTTTCCGCGGGTCGTAATATAAAGGACTGTTCGCTTGTGCAAAGCTCACTTCTATGAGTGAGCAAGGAAAAAAGTAAAAACCTTCACCATTCCGGATGCCTGTGGTATTTCGATAACCGCATACATGTTTGTAAATACGATTGCATACATAATTACTAGTAATGAAGCTGCCATACATATGTACATCCATATATGGAAGTCGTACGAAATCATTTGTCGCGCTAGAATAGTCTACTCAAATACTAGACCCTGTATATGATATACAAGATGCACATCAATGCATGGAAGTCGCAAGACAGATCCTACTCTAGATCCTGCTTCTTAATTTTTGCAGATGATGGTAAGGGTTTCCTGTGATTCKCCCAAACGCAAAATAAATTAAACGGTGTGTTTTTCTGCTGTGTTTACAAAAGTAAAAGGACAATGTACGGATTTTACAACGTTAAGGGAAGAAAACAAGASAATAAGGACTCTACATGTTCAATGGAAAGGACTAATAGTCGAGGGATATGTGTATCTAAACTAAGTTGTCGTTCTGTTGCCGGTGTTCTCCTTGCAGTGCTGTCTACATTATCAATAGTCATTATGGATACATTTGCAAAACTCTGTCTTGTTCTTCCTCCTCTTGAGATTACAGTGATTCGGTGTATAATTCATCTTTTACTGACGATACCACCTGTGATTTACGCAAACCATGCGCTGGTTTATCCACCCAAAGTCATTGCACTTCTTGTTTTGAGAGGGTTTTTTGGAGCAAGTGAATTGATCACTCGAGTTTACGCCGTGCAAAACATGCCTTTGGGTGATGCTGTCGTATTGAGTTTTACATCTCCAGTATTCACAGCCGTTTTGGCAAGGATATTCTTGAAAGAGCGTTTACATTGGATCTATTCGATTCTTCTTSTATTGTGCTTGGCTGGTGTTACTCTGATTGCACGACCRAGCTTCATCTTTGGACATCCAGACASTGCTCCTGAGTATGATAACGTGTTGATACCCTCTCTTGTTGCTTTGCTATCAGCTGTATGCTCAGGTTGTGCTATGGTAGCAGCAAGACTACTTATAGCAACATACAAGGTCCCATCCAGTGTGATATTATTGTACTTTGGCTTTGTTGGACTTGTTTATTCAGTTCTTGGTTCTTACATCGACAGAGGGTTCCAGTTTCCATTTTGTCAAAGTACCGATTATTTGTTTGCAGCATGTGTAGGGGTTTTTGCATGCCTWACTATGGTGTTRCTTCATGGAGCACTTGAATATGAAAAAGCCTTCATTGTTGCACTTATACGGAGCTCAGGAATTGTATTTGGGTTTATCTTCCAAATAATTATTTATTCTCTTATTCCAGGTGCTTTAAGCTTTGGTGGTGCATCAATGATAACATTGTGTAATCTTATTATTTTTATGTTAAAGTGGTATCAGAATAAGAACCGCTATGGAAAAGAATTGAAGACAAGGGAGGATCTGCGTGAAAATACGAATACACTAAAATTATCTACTGTGTCCCCAGAGCCTCATGTATAATTCTTTTGTAYATTGTTATTCAGCAAAGTTATCTAAATTTGGCTATTATTATCATTATTGATATTGGAACAGAATGAGACATATAGAGAAACATTGAACATAGTTAATAGAGGGAGATATCTCCCTCTTATTAACTATGCATTGAAGCACTTCAACACCATCCAACATTGTTGTCAGTGTGTTGCAACTGTAAGCAATTTGCTGGACTATATGAAGAGATCACTTCAGACAAGATATRTAAAAATGTTGAATGGTGTTTGATAGAGACAGTCACCCTTTTGATGTACTTCAAACTCCAAATAACTTAGTTTCAAACCACCATATTTCCTGTGAATATTTTTTGACAGTTTGTCAGTTTTCCTAATGGTGCATTTATGTCCGAGGGTAAGGGGGCTCTCCAGGAATGTTTAAAAAGATCCCAAAGCATTCACAGGAGGTTGTTTCAGCAACTTATAATTACTGATAAAAGGTGCATGACAATTCCAAAGCACTTACTAAAACATTTTTCATTCTTTTCAATCTTTTGTGGAAAGATGTCTTTTATTATGMAAAAATCCAATTGACAGGAAGGCCAACATTATTTTATCTTTCCTAAAATACATTTTCTTTTAATAAARTGTACATTTAAGTCATATTATATTCAAAGCTATTCAAAAAGGACAGAGATTATTACGGTATTCCTGTGTTTTCTTGAGCCCGTTTTCCCGTTTGTCAGMGGTCAAAAGTCGTTGCATATCTGCATCATAACGACCAAACGTAGATTGCATCAGCTTGCATTCTAGACCTAAAAGGAAGTTATGGAGACGTTGGAAACACTACAAGAAAAAGATGRTTCCTTCCTTGAACCACTTGCATGTTCAACGGAAAGAACTAAAAGTGCAAACGTATTCAAGAAACACTGTCGTTCATTCGTCGGGGTTCTACTTGCATTTTTGTCCTCTTTATCAGTTGTGATAATGAACGTATTTGCAAAACTCTGCCTTATTCTTCCTCCTTTTGAAATTGGAATAATTCGATTCATAGTTCATCTTTCATTGACGACACCACCTGTGATTTACGCAAACCATTCGCTTGTTTATCCACCGAAGGTCATTGCACTTCTTGTTTTGAGAGGATTTTTTGGATCGAGTGCAATGTTCACCCGAGTTTACGCCGTGCAAAACATGCCTTTGGGGGATGCTACCGTATTGATTTTTACATCCCCAGTATTCACAGCCGTTTTGGCAAGGATATTCTTRAAGGAGCGTTTACATTGGATCTATTCGATTCTTCTTGTGTTATGTATGGCTGGTGTTACTCTGATTGCACGACCAAGCTTCATTTTTGGACATCCAGACACTGCTCCTGAGTATGATAACGTGTTGATACCCTCTCTTGTTGCTTTGCTATCAGCTGTATGCTCAGGTTGTGCACTTGTAACTGCCAGGATCCTCATAAGAACATACAAAGTCCCATCAAGTGTGATATTATTATACTTTGGCTTGGTTGGACTTGTTTATTCAATTCTTGGGTCATACTTCGACAGAGGATTCCAGTTTCCATTTTGTCAAAGCACCGAGTATTTGTTTGCAGCATTTGTAGGGGTTTTTGCATATCTTACTCAGGTTTTCCTTAATGGAGCACTAAAATGTGAAAAAGCATTTGTTGTTGCCCTTGCACGGTCTAGCTCAGGAACTGTATTTGGGTTTATCTTCCAAATAATAATTTATTCCCTTATTCCAGGCTCTTTAAGCTTTGGTGGTGCATCAATGATTGTCTTGTGTAATCTTATCATATTCATGTTGAAGTTGTATCAGAACAAGAACCATTAAGGAAAATAAGAAAGTCATGTTATGTTGTTCTGGTGCAAAAATGTTTTGTTTACAAAGTGTGAAAAGGACATTCAAGAATAAACTTTGACCCAAAAAGTGTACCTTGAAGAGTAACATTCTAAATTTTATACTAAAGCTTATTCAAATATATATTGCTATTATTTTTTATATGAATTCAAGGAAATTTTATTTAAAAAATGTATATCAAAATAAAAACAATGTACAMAATGCAATATGGTTAAATAGTATGCTTTTTATCAGGAATTTTTTAGCACAGCAATGTCATCCAGGGGTTTCTGCTACAGTAGGGCATGAAATCTTGAAAAGCTCTGGAACTTGAAAACAAGTTTCTCTTAGAAATTCCCTTAATGCACACTAAATGGTATTTTTCCTAAAAAAAATCTTTAAAACACTAGTCTCTGGAAACCAAATTTTTGTCCTTAAATAGTAATTTAAAATTCCTGGAATTTTGTGGTTAAAATGTAGCATGATACCTGATCATCTGAAGTTGGTGTGATCCAGAATTGTAATGTTTCTAACTAACAAATGAGAGTGCAGATTATTCTCAATTTACATGAATAAAACCCACTTTAACTGCTGCAAAATCAAAAATAACCAATCTAGAAATGTTTACTGAGTTAATTCTATATAAAGTAAAAAACTGAATGATGAAATACTCCTTCATTAATGATGCTAGGGTTTGAGGTCTTCGAATCATTAGATATAAAAACTTTGAAGCAGTTGCTCATTACAAATGTTTTCATAGAAACTATCTGGTAATGTGGAAACTGAAACTAATTTAAGCGACTACAAATTAGAAATCTAATTMATGCCTTCCCTTGTTATTGTCATTAAGCATCTTGGAAGATTGAAACTTCATAACTTAAACTAGAGACAACATATTGAAAATAAAGCAATTTTCCATTCAATTATTTATTTTATAAACAATAGGCTCACAKATAAATAATGACAGTGTCTTTTCAATTTATCATTTACAATTGTCCACTTTCCTAACATGCTTTATGTGAAGGTTTTTTATAAAGTGTACA